TGCGTGAATGGTCTTCTTTTCTTGTACGTGTGGGTGCATGTAATCATGTATTCATGTGTGCTTTGATTGTACGCGGATTTGTAGTACACATCCAATATAATCTTTTCCGTTCCTCCATTTTATTAGATGTTAAAGATATAAGAGTTATGTTATTTAAATTTGTATGTCTTGTAACATATGTGTGTGTATATGTATGTATTGGTGATATGCACCTACATGCGCATATCTGTAATTTCTGTCTCGCGTATGATATAGAAAAAGTATATATTAGTAAGATTCTTGTAAATTCGTGTAAATATTCAACACATTTTCTAGTTCGTTGCCCTAAAGTGATTTCGTGAGGCGACGACGAAGAATGCTCGACGGAACCCATTAGGAACGAACATCCCATCGTTGTTTCCTCGAAAAATGAATTCTGTTCCCTTATGCGGATCATCCGCACGTAAGATACGTATACGTATGTCTTCATCGATGAAGGAAGTGTGTTTTAATTTGCTTCGCTTGGCCGGTTACATTTTTTTTTCTTCTTTTTTTTTTTTTTTTTTTTTTTTTTTTTTTTTTTTTTTTTTTTTTTTTTTTTTTTTTTAGATCGAATAAACCTCGAATTTGCATTTGATAAATCATGATTACACGTACGCAATGAAAAGATCAATATTATGTAGTTATAACATAGAATTAAATAGAAAAGTACATACATACAATCAAACTACTTACGAAATACTTGATTTTTAAATATATACGCATAAACATTTAAACGAATATATCTAGATAATAATAGAGCACAATGTCACAAATTATCATAATATTATACTAATTTTAATTGTAATTCGAGGTTTTGAAACTTGAAACTATTATAGACGGACTCGCGTATGCATGTGTGTGTGTGTGTATGTGTGTATGTGTATGTATATATGTGTGTGTGTGTGTATGTGTATATGTATATGTAGAGGAAGCTTTTTTGCTCTGTACTACGTAATATTAAATCGGTATCCCGATTAACCTCTTAAAAAGCACGCCCATATATACTTATTGCACAACAATAGCCGTCGCGGTGTTATTGAGAATGCTTGAAAAATTTCCACGTGAGAAATATATGTGTATAATATAATATAATGTAAATACAATATAATATAATGTAATATAATATAATATAATGTAATATAATGTATATATAGATATATCTAACCTCCACATAATACTTCAATGGGAATTTCTACCTGTAGTTGTATAAATAATACATGTAAGTAATAATCATGCGATAAGTACACAGTAATATGATAAATGACGATAATTAAATACAGATTATACTTATATAGGTTTAGATTTATTCAACGTTTCGCACCTAGACGAACTTTAAATAAAACCATGCTCGGCCCTATTAGAAAGGTATACGAAGAAAGTATATCCCGCGAAACACTCGACAAACAAATCGTCCATTTTTATTATTCGAGAGCGCTTAGTTAATTGAAGATTCTACTCTTTAAGAGGTTAAATGATTTGCTGGCGCAACGTTTCCAACAAGATCGATCAATCATTAGATCGACATATCGATTGAATTCAAAAACATTTCGATATATCGATATACGATGGATCGATGGTAACAGTGATTACACGGTATCCTTCGCGGTGATGACACCCTGCGAAATTGATTTTCTTCGTGAAATAATTTCATCAGGAGTCCGGTGATGATCATAGATGCTCTTTGTTATAAAGATTGAACGTTACGAAAGAAAATATTCTCTACGACTGTCACCCACGTGAAAGCTCGAAAAGAAACCCTTTGATTCCTTTTGATTTCTCTTTTCTTTTTTTTTTTTTTTTTTTTTTTTTTTTTTGTTTCCCCCAATTGCCTTCTCGATTCTAGTCTCGATATGCTGCGATCAAAGCACCAGTCGTTATTTAACAATGAACATGAATGTTCGTGTCATTCGCGATCGAGGTGATCAACGATATACATATAAAGGTTTTTATTTCGATTTTCTAACGTAAAACAAGCATAACTTGCTCGCTAACGTAGAATTATCGAAGTGGATAATCAAGTGTCTAGCAATTAACGAGGTAATTAGAAAGAGGAAGAAGCTCAGTGTTCCGATGCTTGGTCGATGCGTGAACGTTAGGCCTGTGCACGACCGACAGTAGTTATAGTCCGTGCGTGATCAGACGCAGGCCAAACTTCCTAGCAGAGAAAATAGCATCTCTGCAAAAAAAGATTTTTTTTTTTTTCTTATATTTTCTCTTTTCCCCTTGAAAAGAAGAAAAGGATTCTTTTCTTTTAGAAAATTTTCTGTTTTCTATTCACTCAGCAACTCAATTGAGAGCCATTCGATTGGAAAATAGTACAAGCCCATGTAATATTAGACATGGAATGAAGTTCTTAGTAAAAAGATTTTTCACTTCTTAGAAGTTTTTCTATTCGTCAACTTGATTCGAAGATTGTTCGATCGATCCTAGTATAAACAGGATTCAGATTTTTAGACTTTTTTATCATAGTATCATGTTTTAATCATTAAATTTCATCTATATTAAAATGTATCGTTTCTCAAGCAGAAAATTTCCTATTTTTGTGTTTAATCTTACGTTAATACGGATAACTTTGTAACTTAACATAAACAACGATATTTCCATGTTCATAAATTATCGACCGATCGATAAACGATACTCGAATCAAGCAATCAATCCTTTCACAAATCAGTCTTACTTTGTCTACACCCACAGATTTCCCTCGACCACCCCTCCATCCCACCCTAAACATTTGTTTAATAATAAATAATCGCTATATATTTTTTTTTTTTAAATTGTAAATCGTCCCATCGATAATCGATCTATCACGATTCTCGCGTTCACTCTCGCTAGATGTAAAGCGTACGAATTTTTGGTATTCCCTTTTTTTTTTTTCTTTTTTTTTTTT